CTAACATTCTGTGATTCTGTGATGACTCAAAAGTAATTTAATGGCAAAGATATTGATCAGTGCTCTAAATCTATCTGTAGTAATTTTTGTGCCCAAGAGACTGGACTGGTACGGGTTTGAAAATAAATTTTTTTATTGAGTGTAAAGCAAGAACATGTCTGGAGCTAAATCTGGTTTTAATTTTTTTAGTTTTTTTAGTTTGTTTATTTGCCTTTTATTTGAGTATTCATGATTAGTAGCTTTTTGCCGTCAAAATACATATAGTGAGGCAGTAGAAGTGGTGATAGTTTACCATAATGAAACTAATTCAGGAAAAGGCTAGAAATCAGCATAAAAATATACCTATGGAAAACAGCAATGCCAGTACAGGATTTCTTTGTTGCTAGTATAGGTAAGAGGATTTTAAATGACAAAAAGCGTTATCCAGACCAGTAGCAAAGACAAGAGTTCAGTACTCTGATCCTCCAACATGTAGTTAATTCATAATAACATTTTCATGTGAAGAAATTGCATATAGTGACAGCATATGAAGCTTAGAGATGAAAAATATATATAGGCTTGCAACAGCCTCTATATAACTAGGTTTGGTCCATGAACCGCTGACTTGGCTAGCAGGAACTTTGGTGGGGGTTTTTCTCCCTCCACCCACTGTTGTTGTTTCTACATCTCTTCTCATTTTGGACATACAGAAACCTGTGAGGTTGAGCAGTTCACTATCTGAAGGACTAGGGAGATGGTATGTTACGTGTTTTCTATGGAAATCTGATAAATGTGGTTGAAAGGCTTTTTTGCCAAGTAAATTTCTGTGTACTGAAAATTACTTTTTTTATTCACAAAGCAAGATTATTTTATTTTTCTGCTACGTCCTACCATCCTAAGCCTTGCAAACAATATTTTTACTCTTTATTTTGAACTGTGCAAATGTTGTCCACAGTTTGTGAGCATGATGGTTGAATGATGACCTAAGGGTTTAAGCAGTAGCTTTGTCTGGCCAAGTTTGTTAATGTGCATGTCTCTCTGGCTTTTTTCATTTTTCCCCCATATAGACAGCTACGGATAGTGACGGGAGAATGGTTTTTTGAAGAGAGAGCAAAGCGCTTCAAACAATCAAATCTTCTTGGAACTGATGTTGTCAGACAGTCTATCCTACACAAATTCCCAGGTAAGGACCACAAGAGAGAGATTTGCTTGTGCTTGATACATTCAAGCCTTGTTTCCAGAGTGTTTGATTTGTATTGTATTTTATTCTTCACTGTTGAAGGTGTAAGTATAGTCAGTATTTCATTCTTAATTTCATATTTGGGTATTACTATGCAGTGATTCATTAATGGTTAATATATAGGAAAGGTAAGGTTTAGATGAATGAAGAAGTATCTCTGGAGATGGAGAGCTGCTTAAAATCTCACTGTCCAAACAGGTAGACAGTATTATCCAGCTGTAAAGCCAGCAGCAGAGGCTCTAGAATTTAATTCTCAGTTCCTTCCAGGAAGTTTGGCTGTATGCAGAGATCTAAACCCAGCCATTTTTTTTTGCTTTGGCTCTCTTATTTGTGATGTGTAAAAAGTATTCCATTTTGCTTCTTCAACTCTGAATAATAAAGATAAATGTTAACTCCTGTCTGTATGCCAAGGCATGGGCTACATCTGACTGCTTGGTACTTCTCAGTTCTCACTTGGCTTTCCTTTTGCCCAGATATCTCCAATAAATTGCACCTGTGCTTTTAGGTGCAGAACAGTCTGGATGTCTTGAGCAAGCACAGCAAGTGTAACAGGTCCCTGAGCTGCTGTGGTACCTTGCATGATACCACAGGACCACTGGTTTAAGAAACTGAAATTTTTCTTAAATGTTTATACTTCTGTCTTAACTACTTCACTCTGCACACAGAAGCTTATTTAGGTAGTTTGTTTTCAGATGTAGCATTTATCAATTTCAGTAAGAAGGTGATGGATATGGGCAGTCTGTCTGTAGGGCGAGGGACTGGTTTACTGCCACTGGAAAAATCCCTGGTGCAAGTAAACTGCTTGGCAAAATGCTGTCTTGCCAATAGCAGTGTGCTTCAGAAACTGTCATACTGCCAAGTATCTAACATCCTTTGGGTTTTGATATTATGTAGCCTGTCAAATTGGGTATTTTGTTACTTTGTTACCTGATAGATATATTTTAAAATATATTTGAGCCATTCACATTTTGCTCCTAGTTGAACAAACACTTTAATTAGGAAAACTTTAATTTTACACAGAAAATACTGCATGTGGCAAAATTATATTTCTGGTTCTTTGGTTATTAAATGCTGTCAGTAATAAATTCAGTAGCATAGTTCAAGACAAGAATTGATAATAAGAAACATTTCAAGCTATTTAAAATATTCATTTTCTTTTATTAAAAGGAAAAGGCAAAGAACTCCCCAAGTTTGGGCTTGGGGTTTTTTTGAATCGTATTTTATCGTATGGTTTTATTTAATACTGAAAAATGGAAAATCTATTTTTGTAGGTTGTTTGACATGTGTTGCCTTTTTTATGAAAACATTCAGCTTTTGTGTTTTTCCCTTTCCCCCTCCACTGAAGATACAGTTTCCAGTAAGGATGAAGGAAGAACGTTTAAAGATCAGCCCCAAGAGAATGAAGAAAAAAGGCCGGATGTATCAGTCTCCTCCACAATTGGGCATAAATCAGTCTTCGGTGGACCTAAAAAGATAAGGTAAATCCTTTTCTTTTGGAAGCTGATAAAAAGGATAACAGCTGTATATTGTTGGACGGATTTTCTTTTGAGTTTCTCCAGTGTTCCGCATCAGCCTCAAACTTCCCAGGGTTAGAAACAGCCTTCATTTAAAAGCATACTTGCTATAATTAGACTGCTGTTTCCTAGGAAATACAGCAGTAATTTGTCTTCAGCTATAAAGGTAGCAGAAAAAAAGTCAATTTTACTCCTGGATTTTTCTTGTTTAAACTCAGAGGTAACAGAGTGTCCCTAAAGGCAAGTTTGCTGAAGAAGCAAATGCATAAAAGAGTATTTGGAGGGCCTGTTTTTTTGTGTATACTGGTCAGTTCTACTCAAAAGTCAAGTTTTCCTTTAGCTTTCAGCTGTGCAAATGCAGTCTAACAGTCAAGCAGTGCCCCTTTTTTGTGCGTGTGACAGTGAATAAACAGATAAGTTGCTGGTTGTCTTGCAGTCTCAGTGACGTGTTGTAATCCCAGTTTTGCTATGCCCTTGGAGGAGCGCTTGCTTACTCCCAGGGCATATGGACAGGTGCATTGAATATATGGTTGCACGAGTGGTGTCTGGATGTAGCTTGAGGCTATCAGGTGAATGGGAAGAAAAATCAGATGGACGTTCATATCGTGACTGGAGTTTCATGGGCAGGTAGTTGGAAAATTCTGTTTCTGTTGGAAGAAAGAACACATTTTGTTATGGATCCTAAATATAGGGTAGGTAAATAGCTTTCTGCAGCTTTTTTACTTCTGAGGAGAGCTCAGTATGGAATTACTTATTCCAGTGACTCCAGAAATTAGCGTGAGTGATTGCTCTCTCTTTAATATTGAGGTTTTTTTTAAAGAGCATTGGAATGCCTGTGGATTCCCAAATTAATGTGAAGAAAGAACCAGCTCAAGGGAATTACCTGAAATCAGCCTGGAGAAGAGAAGGCTCTGGGGCAACCTTATAGTGGCCTTCTAGTATCTGAAGGGGGCCTACAGGAGAGATGGGGAGGGGCTTTTTAAAAGAGCATGTAGTGACAGGACAAGGGGTAATGGATTGAAATTGGAAGCGTGCAGATTTAGACTAGATATTAGTAAGAAATTTTTCACTGTGAGGGTGGTGAGACACTGGAACAGGTTGCCCAGGGAAGCTGTGGATGCCCCATCCCTGGAGGTGTTCAAGGCCAGGCTGGATGAGGCTTTGAGCAACCTGGTCTAGTGGAGGGTGTCCCTGCCCATGGCAGGGGGGTTGGAACTTGATGACCTTTAAGGTCCTTTCTGGCCCTAACCATTCTGTGATTCTACAACTCTATGAATTACTATAATAGGACATAGATGTTGCCCTAAGTTATGCTGATTGGTAGCTATAGTAAGAGTGCTTTAAAATTTACTTTTCTAATCCTTCTTTTCATTTAAATCCGTTGTGCAAATCTGTTAGTCATGTTTCCCTATGAGAAACAATTATTTTTTATAATTGTCTGTTGTTTATTTTAGTGGTGTTCAGGCTTTTCCAGTTTGTGGCCTGAAATGTTCTCTGGTGGTGATATTCCCCATAAAGGAAACATAATCCTACAAGAATTAGGCTTCCTCTTCCTTAGTATATTTTATGGCCTCTCTTAGAAGTAGTTCATTATTCCTTCTCTTCCTTCCTTGCTCCTTCTTCCTCCCTCAGGTTCCACATTCATATATCTTAATGAGTGAATTTGTTTTAGCAAAGCCATTTTGAGGCCAACTCCTACTGACACTTGGTGTCATGGGATACCTTAACAGTCCATTGTTGTTTGTAAGTATGAAGAATAATGTTACTTTTCAAAACTTTATTTCGTTTCTTTCATTTCTGTCTTATTACTCCACATTGCAAGGTAAGGGGATGATGTTATGTTTTCAGAAAATAGCATGTTTTTGGCATTCAGGCATGTAATTGTAGAAACTGCAGAGAAATCTTTAAGAGAAAATACATATAGTATAATTTGCTAGGGGAAAATACACATACTTAGTCAAAAATACTTTACTGTGTATAAACTGTAAAAAAAAATAGAGAGGAATTTTCACAAAAGGCACTTCTGATTCAAAGCTTGAAGGGGCCATGTCGAGTAGGAGGGATATTTTAGTGTGTTGTGTCTTAAAAAGCAGTTTGTGGCAAATATGACGCCTTTTTTTTCATAAGAATCAGTTTGAGAACCAGATTTGGTGCTCTATGGACCTTTATATCCAGAGTTGTCCATAGGTCAGACAGGTGAAATTAGTAGAATGCACACTCATGGTATTTCAGTCAGGCTGCTGTTTCCTGCGAAAAAACTTACAACTTTAAAAATCTTTTATTCTTTGTTTTTATCAGGAAGGTAATTAGGGCAGTTACCAAAGGAGAATTTACATATGTGAAAGATGAAGGTAAAAGGAACACAGGCTCAGAAGCTGAAACCCAAAGTTTACACAGTGGCAAGTCAATGTCTTGCTCCGAGAGGTAAGCAGCAGAAATCTGGTACGGCTTATGCTGGGATTGACCTAGGTAGGGGTGTGTGCCAGTCCTCTGTGTTGCATTGTGTCTTTGAATGCTCAGCATTAATACTCTCTGAGAAACAGATCTTATGTTAAAAAAAAAAAAAAAAAAAAAAAGGAAACTAAAAATGATCTCAGTTCATCTCCCTTCTTTTCTCCCCTTGTGTTTGGCTGGTGATTGCTGTCAGCATGTAGTGTTTTGTTTTCTGGCTTTTAATTAATGAGCTGTGTTCATGTAACAGAGCTGAGGCCTTTTGTTCTAAAGTTTTTCTTTGGTAATGACATGTTAATTGAGTATAATTTATATTTTCTTCTTCAAAGGCTCTGTTTGCCCTTCTCTTTCCATGATTATTGTCTCAGCTATTTCTAATAGAATTCTCTTTATCATTCTTCTGGGCATAAGAGATGTCTGTTATTGCTTCTGTTGATAGCATTATAAAATGCCAGGTGCAACATTGCTCTCACGTCCCACCACCAGAATGAAGCCAAAAAACAGTTCACTTTTTTCTTGTTCAGTTGGATAGTCTATACTGGATGTGGACCTAGATTCTTTGCTCTATTCTATTTTACAATCATGATTGAAAAAATAATAATAATTTGCTGCAAAAACCAATAGAAATTTCTAGTTCTAGAGCAGTGTTCCTAGGAAACTCCAGTTGGGTATACAGGGTGCCAACAAGTAACAGGAACACAGGATAGCAGGTGAAAGGAACACCGTTAAATTTAATTTACCCATAGATGATCCTTGTTGTTTAAGCAAGAACTCGATTCCCTTTGTTACCTACACTTCAAAAACGCACTCGCTGAGTGTTCCGCAACATGCCTAAAGCTGGTGGTGACAATTGTCCTGCAAGTTGATAATTCGATTTTCTTCACTGGATGCTGCAGCACCTACTAGCCAAGTCAGCTTTAAAGCTATTTTTCTTCTTTAATCTATGCACAGTTGACTAAGGTTTTTTTCACTAAGCTAATCAGGCCTTCTGTATCTAACCAGACTCATACCTGACTTTCACAAGATCAGAAGTAGTATTTTTCCTGTTTTTTTCTGTATTTGTTTTGCTTTTATTGAATAGAGGTGGTTGAAGGATCTAAGAAGCAGAAATTGGGAAATCTGGTGTCTGTGTTGCTTAACACTAAGGTTATACGATATCAAGTAACTTTCTCTAATATGTTACCAAATTAAGCACAGAAGAATGCTTTTGAGAGGTCTGTGCAGCAGCTTTGATGTGCCAGACTGCAAGAAAATTATCATGCAGTTAACCATAAATGAAGCAAAATAATTTTGTTTGGGGTGGTAGAATTCAGCACCTGATAGCTCTGTGTACAGGCTTACAAGGACAAATAGAGTGAAGCAGTCTACAAAAATAGTCTTTGTGTTTGCTTGCCTTGCTTGACTTTCACATAAAGCATCAATTTCTAGCTTTTGTCCAGAGCCGGGGTGAGGGTTTTATTACATTAGGGGTATTGGCAACTTCCTTCTCCCACCCATCATCTCATCCTCACCTGGCCAAATCAGTGTCCTCTGTCAAAGTACCTAGTAACTCAGCTGTGTTGCCAGGAGATGCTTTTGATAGGGGGGGGGTTGAATTATTTTACTATCTGTGGAAGATGTGACACTTTCTAAATATTAGGAAGGATTGAGGAGCAACTTGTATTTCTCAGTAGAAGGATGAAAATTCCTGTCTTGTACATGCATGGTTAAATACTTTAACTAGATATTTGGGGATACTTGCTTTAGTTAATCTATTGTTAATTTATAGAACTGAGTAGTAATTATTAACAACAACAACAAAGCTTCCCAGGGTACCCTCTGTAACTGTTCTGAGTTTCAAATTAAAAGAATATAACATCTTGTGACACTGTAGCTGTCCCAGATTTTCGTGCATATTTCTGATTTTTGTAATTGCTCTCATCTTTTTAGCTGTATTGACAACATTGGTAGTATTTCACGTACCAACAGAGAGACTGAGAGATTTTTATTCTTTCTAAACATTTTGATTTAAGAAAAGATGGACTAAGCTGGGAACGGGGAGTCCCAGGCCATGAATTCATCTCTTTAGCTGGTTTATTTCTACTCTAGCAAAAATGTTTACTGATTTTGCAGCTGATTGAACTGCAAGGCTGCATCAGGATATTTCTGGGAGAAATAATATAGGACTTTCAGACTCATCTACACAGGCACACTTCCCCATCGTACTGAGGTCTTGTCTACCACATGGAAATGCCTGGAATAGTTACCTTATAACAACATTTTTCTTTTATTGTCTAATTAATGTGTGTATAGAATGTGTTGAATCTCTCTCTAACAGCTGACTGAAACAAGGGCAAAGGATGGGAGCAGTCTGTTTAGCAGGTTTGATGTTCAAGTGACTGATGACTCCTGCAGAACCCATTGCAATGTGTTTTCAAATATTTCATCCCAGCCCACTATTACTTCTGAACCTCTCTTGATTTACATTAGTTTACACAGTGAGGAAGAAAAAACTGTAATGAAAATTTTTGTAACAGAAAGTCACAACATACCATCAAAAGTGGTGTGACATGGAATAAAACTCAGGTTTTCCACTTTTTGGGTACTTGCCATACACTGGCAGGTTTGGGAATGAAGGTGTGTGCATCTAAGCCCAACAGCTTTGACAAGATACAGATGACAGCCACTAATCTTGATTTTTCTGATTTTGCAGCACCAAAGACACATCTTTATATAGATAGATAGGACTAAAATTAAACCAAAGCATATTTAGTAGGATATGTTAATCACTAGCTAATCAAATTAAAAAGTGGCACTGTATGTATATGAAGTGCACATGCGTAAGAGTGTGTTTATTATGCATTATCTTCAGTTGTCAATATATGAAATTGGATAGTAGTTGTTAAAAAGGTTACCATATGCTCACTAAGACAAAAACAAGGTTGCATAACATTTGTAGACAGTCCTGGAGTTTGGGGTTTTCCTCTTATTCCTTGTTTTCAGTAACTCCACCAATGTGGATACAGAGCCTGTGCTCACTGCTTAATGTAGTGGTGAGACAGGAGCTGTTCAGTTCCAGAGTAATTTTTCTCAGTTCAGCATTAGTTCTAATAAAAATTTCCATTGTGGTAAAAAAGATTTTTGCTGCAGTAACTATAAACATGATATGACAGCCTAAACCAGGTGAAGGTGAAATTCAGATGTTGTCCAGCACAATGCAGGTGCCTGCAGATCTGAAATATTTATTTAGCAAGCTTATTTTGCATGAAAAGGTACTATAAGTTCCAGGAATTTTCTCCAGCAAATTTACACTACTATTGGCCCCTGACTCTGTATTTTCCATATGGAGAAGGCTGCAATTCCTGCATCAATTCCTGTTTACCAGTATTTTTATTATTTTTAATCACAGATGCTTGTTGTCACTTTTAATAACATGAAGCCTGGCAAAAAGACTTGTTTAGCTTTCCTAGCTTTCCAAGCTGGTTGAAAGAATCAACTAGTTTGGGTCAAGAGTCATTATAGCAATATAAATAGGACAGTGAGCAAGCTGTCGTTTTTCTAGAGAGGACAGAAAGCAGAGAGCCAAGGATTTTAGGCTTTCTGGAGATAGTGCCGCAGAAGTGGCCAGAACTGTCATGTCACCATAGTTTTCCTTTAAACCAAGGAGCAGCCTGGTAGGAAGTTTTACCTGAGTTGTCACACCTGCTGTTAGGATGCAAATGCAATTCGAAATGAATGTGAATAAATGTAGCTTCCACAGCCTCGACAAGAGCTGCCCATTTGGGCTCTTTGCAGTGGAAGTGCTGAAAACAGGTGCATGTATAAAGTAGTTGTAATTCTCCCTTGCTGTGTTTTTCTGTCCAGGTGACCATTTCCTTGCAGTGGATCACACAGTTCATCCAGGGCAATGTTATTGTAGTGAATTGTTACTGTGGCTGTTTTATTGCAGTGGTTTGCTAGATGTTTCGTCTCGGTTTGCACAAAGCAATGACACTTTAATACTCTTCTCTCCATCCCAGAGGGAGCACTTTTTCGCTGAACAGCAGCGATGCAGAGGCCACTGCAGGCCATCTGAAAGGAGCCATGGGTCCTGGGAACAGAAGCAATATTTCCAAACCTTCCCTCCCGAGGTCTCCTGCTCTGAGCACACGCAGCATGACAGCAGATTATGGCAGGGTGAGTACAGTGATGTAGAGCTGACACCAAATACAGCTGACACCAAACAAGATTACTTGGATGATATCTGCCCTGTTAGATCAATTTGTAAACCAGAAAGGACAAGTCTGACAGAGAAGATTTTGTTTCTTCCTTAATTCTGCTGGGACCAGTGAAGACCTCTACTCGAACAGGATTTGACATGCTCTATTAGCGATGGTTTTGGTTTAGCAAACATTTATGTCTAAAAATTTCTGTTAATGTCCATCATTACATACTGAATTACAGATTCTGAAGTGGGAAGCACAAGGGATGGGAGTAAGTGTTTTTGGCACTTCAGGGCCTTGAACAAGTGCTGTGAACTAAGGATGTGACTTTCCAGCATGCAGAGTTCAGCACACTCCTACTAACTTCTAAGGGAAACGTTGCAAGCTCATAAACTATACTGATTTTAGTTTTTTCTGGATTTGGGCACTGGACTCTACATAAATTATGCCATGACACAAAATGCATGCTAGGCACTTTATTAAAGTGAAAGGTGGGCTTCCTCTTACCTGCTGCTAGGTCTCTTGGGATGTAGGTGGACATGTCTGAGCTAGGCTCCTTGGCTGTTTTGTAATATGCAGAAGGGTGTGGCTCATCTAGCCAGAAGCAGACACCCTCTGTGTTCCCGGGCAGCCTGCCTGTTTGTCAAGCAGCTCCTCCTGGCTGAGGACACTGAGATGCCCATCCTGAATTCCCTTCAGTCACCCCTCTTAAGACACCAGGATTGTACTAGCAAGTTATTCTAAGTTGCCATGACTTAAGTGTACAAGGAAAGCAAAATTTATAGTCTGAGGTAATGCCTTTTACCATTAAGGTTTGGAAAAATGTAGATGAGCTTTTGAGATCAGAGCACTGTTGAACACATTCATTTTTTTTCTAACTTCCAAATACATGGTCTAATATATTGTCTTTCCTAATAAAAAATAATTTAGTATATATGAAGGACAGTTTTGGGATCTGTAAATAAAATAATAGTTGTTTTATTTTTATTTTTGTTGGTACACAGACTGACTTCATTTCAAGTGCATTAGATTTGGTTGAAAAAGGCCAATCCATTTAATTTAGATGGAGTTATGTTATTAGCTGTTCCTTTATAGGAAGGCAAAAAGCCATAATGTTATCAAGCGTATTGGCATTACTTAAGGGGCTATACTGGCACAGTTTAGTTAGTTCAAGTCCATTTGGTTTTATCCTGCCTGAAATCGTTATGCTGGTATAAAAACAATAGGTTTTCTCTTATCTTTCTTTTTTTTTTTTTAATTTCCAAGCTAAGTGAACTTTTAATAGATTTCAGTATTTCACTTCCTTCCTTTCATTCCTGATGCGTTGCTCTGATTCTTCAGTTGCAAACTCAGAATGTATGCATGAATCACATCTTTGTGCAAATTTTATGCACTATCTGTGCTAAGAAAAGCAGATTAGATTGTAATCTAAATATATTCAGTAATAGATTGGATGCTGAAAGAGCTTTGGGGTTCTGGGAGCTAATAGAAATGATGCTTTTGTAGACAGTGAATAAACTCACTTTTTGTATTTATGGGATGTGCATTTTTTTTTTTTATTGGGCAGGACACTCACTTAGAAAATGGCATGATTATTCCAGCAAGTGAAAGTGTACCTGAAAATCTAGTGAAGAAGCACTTTAGGAAAGCATCTGGAACACCTTCCATTGCAGTTTCTAGGGTATCTTTGTCATCAGGCAAGTATTAAGTCTTTTCATTCTTCCTGCCAGCCTTTATCATCAGATGATTATTCCTGTTGTTGTGACTCTGCTCCTTTTGGTTTTAAAGCACATTGAAAGATCAGATGTAAGTTTCATACATTTGTTCATATTAATTCTGAAAATTCTTCCCTTTCACTGACCAAGTTTATACCATCTCACAAGTTTAACATTTGAAAAAGTAATCCTAACTCCAGTAATGTTGGCACAATGTTAGTATTAGCTAAATCGTGTGCTCTTAGAATTGCTACAAGGTTTCATTCATAATTGTATGTTGTTAAATCATTCTCCGTGTGGTCAACTGTATAAAATACTACCTGTCTGCAAGGTGTATAAAATACTACTGTGCTACTGCCATTACATTTCACACCCACTTTGCCCAGAAGCAAATTTGTGAAACAATGAACTGTCAGAGAGCAAGTCCCTTTCAGACTTCATCTAATTTAATTGTTGTATGTCATGCACTGAACCAGTCAAATCAGCTGTAATAAGACCTCACCTGGAGTACTGTATTCAGATGTGGGGCCCCCAACATAAAAAAGACCTGGACCTGTTGGAGAGACTCCAAAGGAGAGCCACAAAATTGGTCAGAGGGCTGGAGCACCTCCCCTATGAGGACAGGCTGAAAGAGTTGGGGTTTTTCAGCCTGGAGAAGAGAAGGCTCCAAGGGGACTTAATAGCAGCCTTCCAGTACCTGAAGGGGGCCTACAGGAGAGATGGGGAGGCAGTCTTTATCAGGGTGTGTAGTGATAGGACAAGGGGTAATGGTTTTAAGCTGAAAGAGGGTAGATTTAGACTAGGCATTAGGAAGAAACTTTTCACCGTGAGGGTGGTGAGGCACTGGAACAGGTTGCCCAGAGAAGTTGTGGATGCCCCATCCCTGGAGGTGTTCAAGGCCAGGCTGGATGAGGCTTTGAGCAACCTGATCTAGTGGAGGGGGTCCCTG